TCATTATTAAGAACTATACTGAGCCAGGTACAGATGGCTCATGCCTGTAATCCTAGCTACTTAGGAGGCTAAGATCTGAGGATGACACTTTGAAGCTAACTTTGGCAGTAAAGTCCAAGAGACTCTTATTTCCAGTTAAACACCTAAGAGCTTAAAGTGGAGCTGTGGCTCAAGTGGTAGAGTACTAGCTTTGAACTTTCAAAAAAGCACAGCACTCAGACCATGAGTTCAAGTCCTAGGATCAGCAGACAAGCATACACACACATACATAACAAACACACACACACACACACACACACACACACACACACACACACATCTGTGTGAAGTCTCTCCTGGCTCTCTGTCCACTCTCTCTCAAATCACCACCCCACCTCCTTTATCCAAGGACATTGCCTTTGATCACCTAAGTAGAGATTCTTGGAAAATATAAGCATAGTTTCAAAAAAACTACGACTGTAGATATCTATGCTCTTTATGGAAAATACAAGTGGACTATAAGTCAGGACCTAGATTCTAGAACTTTTTTTTTACATTATAGCATAACTGTGAACCAATTTTCTTATTTCTCTGGGATTCAATTTTTTTAAGCAAGTTTCAATACTTTCCATATAAATATTCAATTAAAATAAGGCTTGTAGAATATATAGATCCTACCAGCTTTAGATGGGATATAGAAAGACAGGAAAATAGTTTGACTTGTAATTAAAAGAGAAAAGGGAAAAAGAATGACAGAAGAGCTAAGAGGCTGAAGACAAAGAAAACTGCCTTACTATTAGCATGAAAGCAAAGTAAATAAAAGTTACTAATTGGTGTGATATAATTAAAAGTTTCATACCACACATTGCCTTTACTTCACAAGATTTGTCAATTTTTAATCTTAAACATGGCAGCCCTGTTACTACAGAATTTTGTGTTCACTTATATATTAGTTTGAATATTAGTTAACTATCCAGACTTGTAACTTTATTTGTTCCTTGAAGGAGATTTTCAACCAGTAGGTATGGAAAAAGTAAAAGAAAAAAGCAATAGTAAGTTCAATAACAATAAGCAACTCTCAAATGGCTGGAACCAATGATAGATGCAGGAAGCAGGGATCTATAGTCCTAAAATGCTTCTTAAAAAAAAAAAAAAAAAACTAAAGGATTCAGGCATCAATGGCTCACACCTGTTATCCTAGCTACTCAAGACATCGAGATCTGAGGATCTGTGGTTTAAAGCTAGTGCAGGCAGAACCCATCCCTAAGCGAAAAAGCTAAAGGAGAACAGTACCCCAGGTTTAAGCCTCAGTATTGGTGCAGAAAATAAAAGAAAACAAAAACAAAACTAAGAACCGGTTATAAAGCACTTTGAAAGCAATATTCAAAGGCATGAACTTTATCCTGTGGTCAATAAAAGCTATGAAAATGTTTAAAATAAGACACTGACAATTAAATCTATGTTTTTGAAAAGTAACTGACAGCAGAGTACATACAACAGTTATGAAACAAGAGTATAAATTGTTACATAAGACTACCATTACCAGAAAAAAAAAAAGTATCATGAGCCAGGCACCAGTGGTTCACATTACATCTGCAATCCTAGCTACTTAGGAGGCTGAGATCTGAGAAAGTCTGTGAAATTCCTCTCTCCAATTAACAACCAAAAAGCTGAAAGTGGAGCTGTGCCTCAAAACTGACAGAGAATGCCTTCAGCAAAAAAAGCTGAGGGACAGCACCCAGGCCAAGTTCAACCCCCAGGACTGGCACAAAAATAAATAAATAAATAAATACAATTTAGGCTAACACACTCACTGAAGCCATAAAACTCAAAAAAATTCTACAATATTATTAAAGTAATTCAGTGCGGTTGCCTTGGAATTTGCTTGGGGGAGGGGAGTATAAATCATCACATTTTAAGATCTCCTTTTTTAAAGTCATCACACTGCAAATGTATACTTTTTTCAAATAAAATTAACACTTTAATATTTATGGGCCTGAAGGCCACAGAATTTTTAAATATTTACCTAACCATTTAGAAAGTACTTGGCATTTCAGGTATAGAAAAATATGTCATACACCAACTTACACCTTTCTAAAGCTCATATTTACCTAATCACACACAAAATGATGTGGTTGAAAACTACCTATAGAATATACACTTAAAATGGCACAGAAAGGTAGCTACTTCAGTTTCGACCAAAGCTTTCACATAGACAACAGATGTTTTTAACTTCCTCTTAGTTCCAGCTGACCCCTAGCAGACAGATTTCAAATTCAAACTTAGTGCTTCTTTCTATTAGCCCACCAAAAAACAGTCCGCAGTAATCAAATTTAAACTTTAAATCTCTAAGTGTTTTTTAAAGCTTCTTAGTTAAAAACTGACATATAGGTAATAGTTAAGTCAAATATTATATAAACAAGTGTTAAATCAAATGTTTTTTAAATATGCCTAATTACTTTTCAAAGCAGTATGTAACATACTAAAAGTTGAAAGTTACTTTAAGTCCATTCTTGCATAATTAAAAACATGTCATTGATAGGAATTTTCAACTGGTTTTCAAAGATGCTACTAAAAACATTTAGATTCTAAAATAAGTTGAAATAAAATAATTACCACAAAAATGAGTCCCTATTTCTCAAAGATTTGACTATGCAAAAATTACAGAATACTTTATTAATCATTATATCCTGAAAAATATTGGTCAGGAGTATCAACTTTCATATTAAAATAAAATTTAAATTTGTGACCCCACTGGCTTTTATTTACACCTTATAAAAAGTATAAACTAACTGAAATTAATTTTAGAATTAGAAAGTGCTATCGAATTCTTCTACTGGTATCCCCCAGTTAACAAGAGACTATCGAATATTCACGGACATTTCTAAGGTTAAATAAGACTTGTCCCACAATTCTTTGCCCATGAATCCAGGACATTTCCACCTAGGACAGATTCCACTCCAATTCTTTTTTATTTCTTTTTGTAATAAGAAAATGTTTTCACTCCTGGTTTAACATTTTCTTTTTGAAAAAAAATCCCAATGGTGGCATTTTGTGGTGCTAGGCATTTAATAACCAAACATATACCCCCAAACAATAATACTTCCGTATATTTTAAAACCACCAAGCTGTTTCTCCTCGGGGAAGAAAAGTGAATAATGGTTTTCTACAATAAGAAAATATGCTCTCTTTAAAAGCACAAATTTTATTTTCCATTAGTATAGATAATAAGAATGCACCTCGTTAAAGGTTGATAAAGGTTGCTATAATGGAAAGAGAACCAATGAAAAGGTTAAAGACAAGAAGTTGTTAAACAAGTCTTAGTGGTCTAGGCTTGTGATCCTAATCACTCAGGAGGTAGATGTAGGAAGATCACCATTCAAGGCCAGACCTGGCAAAGTTAGCTCAAGACTCTGAAAAACTAAGTTCAAGTGGTAGCCTTGCTTAGCCAGCATGGGGCCCTTGGTTGAATCCTTGACTCCATAGTTGAAATCAGGGAGGAATCTAGAAGTTTTCAATTTAAAAAGAACACACCTATATAGCTATATCAATATATTACAACTAAAATGTGTTAAAAACTAATACGGTTACATTTAGGAAAACTGTTTACAAATGTGATTAAACTGTGCTTAAAGACTATCTCAGTGTTAATGCAATCTATTCACATATACTTGAGTCAAATATTATTTGATTCTTTGAAAATAATTGCTACTATTTTACTGTACAGTGACTTTTCAAAAAACTTTTTACTTGATACCCATTTTCCTATCCATTATTACTGGTAGTAAGCCTAAAGAACAAAAGTTGTAACTTTTTTCTCAAATACTTGGCCAAAACAATTATAGAAATGAGGGTCTTGGATGTAGTAAAGAAACTTTTGTTTCCAGTATTTGGGGTATTGGTGTAAAAGATGTGATGAATCTATAAAATCTAAAAACCAAGGATATAAACTACTGTTTAGAACTTCTACACTTATTCAATAAGCAGTGCAAAACACAGCACTGAGAACTAAGAAAATTAATCAAACCCTAACACTACCACATTCTATACCTAACAAAGTTGGATCATCTCAAAAAAAAAAAAAAACTCAATTCCCTCAATTCTAAACTGAGGGTAATGTCACCTACCAAACAGAAATCTTTGTGAGGACTTGAGACAATATATGTAAAGTCTTTTGCATGTTTCAATAAACAGTAATGACAGTCTCTCAATGATGCAAAACAGGTAGGCTTCCTAATGCTATCTTCCTGTAAGTTGATTACCTGATGATTCCAACTTCTCTTAAAAAAAAAAAAAAACTATGACAGCCTACAAGGAAAAATTGAAAATGTTTTGGGCATCTTTCCAGGCAATTCTAAGTTTAAAGGTTGAATTGCTAAAACCTTCTCCTAATTATGCAACAACTACACAAAACCATTTAAGAAATTGTATTCGCCAATAGCTCTCTTTTCCCCTAGATAAGTCTCAGCTCCAAAGCTCATTTCTGTTCTTGATCTTCTCAATTTTTTTATCATCAGTAATATGGAAACCTCCCTACTCAAAATCCATAAATATTTTCTTGTTTAAAAGGCAAGAGGTCTTTTTTAGGCAGACATCATCATCTCCTTAACCACAGATTGATAAACAGCACCAGAAAGTTCCACATCAGACAATGCCCAAGTGGAAGCAGTCAAACTAACAAAGCGCCAATAATTCATCTCATTTTTCTGAGAACTCACCTACAGCAAAAAGCAATACTTTAAAAAGTGAAGCAAGATTACAGTAGGCTATTTCATTTCAGCTTAGATTTAAAAAAATTGTTTTTGCCTTTTTCACAAGCTTCTAGTATTTCCCAAAACCTTCCTAGAACATGGTTTCCTCCCCTGCAAGTTGGGCAGCCTTCAAATGCTCTGATGCACCTGGGGGACGCGGGAGGGAGAGAGGCGGGGGGGGGGGGGGGGGGAATGAACCCAGATCCTCCTCTCCCTCCTTCCCCACCCCACTCACGTCCTCCCAGACCCAACATGAGGGGGTCACCCTACCTGTTCTCTCGAGATACAAGGCAGAGAAGGTCTCCTGAACATTTTGCCACTGCCATAGTAAGTGGCCGCGCTTTCTCCCAGGGACACGCAGCTGGACCTCCGGCGGGGTCTGATCACAGGCACTTTATCATCCGCAGCACTAGACAGGCGGGGATGCTGCGGGGCTTCCCTGATGTGAAAGAAGTGATCCAAGCCAAGAGCTAACAGGCAGCCGATGGCCCCGACCAGGCCGGAGAGCAGCGGCCTGAGCCCGACAGGCAGCGCCCCGAGGCTGGCGAACGACACCCACCAGACGCAGCAGGCGAAGAGCAGCACCAGGATGCTGTGTCCGAGCCTCCCGGGGTGCGCGAGCGTCAGCAGACCCACGCAACTCAGCACCAGGACCAACCTGCCCGCCGGGGGCGTGTGCGGGGCCGCAGCCGCGTCCCCCCACGGCCAAGCCCCCCACTGCCAAGCCAGGAAGTCCCCCAGGTAACAGCAGGCGGGCAGGGCCAGCAGCCACCAGGAGCCGCCGCCGCCGCGGCCCGGCGCCCGCTGGGTCCGCGTCAGGAAGCAGGTGAGGAAGAAGAAGGCACAGGCGATGCTGAAGAGCGGGCTGAGGCAGAGCGAGCACACGCTCAGCAGCGTCCGCAGCCTCGCCGCCCCGGCCGCCCAGCTCTGGGGCCCCGCGTCCAGCAGCAGCAGCAGCAGCAGCAGCAGCACGAGGACAAAGGCGGCCAGGGCGCCCAGCGAGAGGCGCGCCGGGGCCGAGGGGGAGCCGCGCCGCGGCGGCGGCGGCGGGCGGGAGGTCGGCGGCAGCGGCGGCGGCGGCTCCACGTTGCAGAAGCGGCAGAGGTGGAAAAAGAAGCCGCGCGGAGGGTCCTGGCGCAGCGGGCTCACGCAGCCTTTCACGTAGCCGTTCCGCAGGCTCTCGGGGGGCGAGGCGGCCCCGTCCGGCGGCGGGCACCGCATGGCTCTCCCGTCTCGTTCGTCCTTCTTCATGGCCCCGGGTCCGGGCAGAGAGGCCTCGGGGCGGCCGCGGGGCTCCGGGAGCCCCGTTTCAGACCTCAGGCGACTTTCCCCCCGCCCCTCACACCGCGTCCCCGCGTTCAAGGTTCCGAGCGCGCGTCAGGGCTGCGCCCGCCACCGCCGCCCGGGATCCCCACCGCCGCGCGGGCTGCGGAGCGGCGGCGTCCGCGGCATGCTGCTGAAGAAAGGGACCGAAGGGGCTTCGCTCCCGGAGGGCGGAGGCCGCCTCCTCCTCCTCCTCCTCCTGTTCCTGCGGGCACCTCTAGGGACTGGAGGCTCCGGTCGCCTCCCAGCTCCCGCGCGGGCTGCAACAGTTAGCTCACCGCCCCAGCCTGGTCCGTTGGGCGCGCGAGCGCGCGAGCGGGCGGGCGGGCGGCGCGCGCTCCTCCCCCGCCCCTCGGGGACTCCGCGCGGGAGCGCGCCCCGCCCGCCGCCTGCGCGTGCTCGAGCTCCATCCCGCGGCCCATCCGCGCCTTGGCTAGCGCCCGACTGGGGGCTGCCAATCCCAGACCCCGCAGTCTGAGCGCGCCCAGGTTAAGAAGAGCGCGGGCACAGCAGTCGGAAGACCGGGCAGTGATTGGCAGAGACGGACCCTGTCATCTGCGGGTGCAAGGGCGAGCCCGCCATCCTGGATCCCCGAGCGCACAGTTTCCCTTTGACGGTAAGTGACAGACATCCGAGCCCAGCCAAGGCTCCAACAGGTCCACTACTGACGTCTCAGGCGAGAAGGTGTTTGTGCCCCCCAGCCACACCTACACACACACACACACACACACACACACACACACCAGGGAAGAGCCGAGGAGGGAGGAGTAGTGGCTGGGCTCACAGTGGGCACTGGGACTGTGAGCTCAGCTATGACCCATTGAAGGGGCAGCCACCACCAAGCGGGAACTGGAGAAACCCCAATCACGATCCTCAACAGCAATTTGGATTCTTGGGCCCGGACCCTCACAGGGATGCATGAGAAAGTGTGTCCCTGGACTGCGTTATGGCAGCAGCATCTATATTTTGAAGACCGTTTTCTTCATCTAATCAAGCCTCAGTTTTACACCCTTGCCACATAATGCACTGATTCACATCCTGTATCTCCAACTCAGCATTCATTTGCTATCACAAATGTTCTTTCCACATAGGATCTTTTTGGGTTTTTTTGGCACTTACAGGGTATTCTAGAGAGAATGCATGGGAGGGGGTCCTCTTCAGTGGTCCCTCCCTCTCCAAAACCACACCCAAGTTTGGATCCATTGATCTTGAAAGAAGCCTCCCCCCCCAAAAGATGCTGTCTGTGAAAGCTTGGTGAAACTAGCAACATTAGAAAACATGGACTTAAAAGTAGGAAGAAAAGAACTTTGCTGTTCCAAAGGGACTGTTCTGGAATCTAACCAATCATAACTGCCTTAGAGGGAGAACTGTGTTTCCCTCCACAGAAACTCTCCCTTCAACTTCATGACAAGCCTGCATTTCTCAAAGAGCTAATTCCACATTTTTCCAGGGAGATGAGAAACATTACTGTGTGGTAAATCCCACAAACAGGCCTATTTTTCACCAATTAATCTCTGCCCACAGCCATGAACTAAAGCAGACCATTTTCATGTATGGTCATAGTTCACATACATAATAGAAATCATTGAGAAATTAGCTCAAGAATTTGGCCAAGGCGAAAAAAGACCAAAATCCCCTTTCCTTTTCTGTACATTAAAGAGAAAATAAAGAGTTTTCTAATTGGTTAGCCAAATGCTTGTCCTGAAATATAGAAGTCCATTGGGTCTTTTCTTCCATCAACTGAAAGAAAAAAAATTACTCATGTCAGCAAAACTGGGGAAAGACATTTTTTTAACCTTGTGCATAGAACTCATAAGATTTAAATAGGAACTCAATAGAAAACATTCAAAGCTTCTACAGAACAGCACCAACATTATGGAAATGCCCATTATAAATTATCCTACAAATCTAAACATTCACACAGTGAGAACAAAGGAGGGTATTCTTAGGAGAGGATCCCAAGGGCTCAATAGCTATGTATATACGATCATATAAAATGATACCTATCAAAATGAACTCCAAGAAATGGAAGAGATTTGTTTTATATACTGTTTGAGGTTCTGTTCTTCTTTCCTTTTTTCTTTGGTTAATTCCTTCCAGTCACTGTTTTTGATTTTTGTACTCTTTGTCTTGTGTATAATAAGTTTATCTAATTTGGGGCAGGAAAGGGGAATCACAGAAATAATGAGATACAGGGTGAACCAATTCACCAGTAAAATCCATTAGACATTATGTTGGAAATAAACCATAAAATTTTGGGGGGAAGGAAGCTGGGAGGGGATGATACTGTTCAAAAGGAAATATACTCATTACCTGAATCATGTAACTGTAACCCCACCTTACATCACCTTTACAATAAAATATTTTTAAAATAAAAAATTTTTCATGTAAAAGAACAAATGGATTAGAAAGTTAGAATAAATTTAGATTAAAATTCTTGTTATTATTTTTAAACCTGATAATTAAACACTTTTAAACTTGAGGTTGTTGTCTGAGATAAGATAAATATGGCAATGGAAACAGTAGTAAGCTAGAAATTCAGCTTCTTGAGTTTTGGTTTCAACCCAGCCATTCAAACTCTGGAATTAAGCAAGTCATATAACTTTTACAGGCCTCATTCTTCTCAAATGTAAAATGAGCACATTTAATTTAAATGTCTTTTGAATTCCCCTTGGTCTTAAAAAGCTATAATACCTGTGTGCCAAAAAACATAGACAGTCTTAAGATTCACTTTTCAGAATGCCAAAAGCAGTTTTTGAATTATTTATACCATCCAACTAAACCAAACTTTTAGTGTTGACAAGTAAAATGTAAAGGAGTTCAAACAAAGAATTGTTGTCTAAAACTGAAATTAAAAGTTACCTTCATAAAACTAACTTCCTTACTCTTACAAGTTCTTTCAACTATTATTAAGATCTTTATGGGGCTGAAAACTCAACTCTGCCAATAGCCTATATTATTGGAGCATATCCCTCCAGCCCAGCATCTGACATAATTCTAAAATTAAATTTTAAAATGTGACCAAAGACCACTGGAAATTTTGCTTAGGTAAAAATATGCACAAAAAGAATGTTTATAGCAATTCCTTTCTCTGTTTACAGTCTTTATCAATGATTATTACCAGGCTGCATTTCTTAGAGGTCAAGTTATTTAATTGTTCTTCTGCGAAACTTAAACAACAAATAGATTCACTTAGCTTTTGTAATTTAGATTTTAAAAATCTAGGACTACTATCTGTTGTAATAAAGGACTTAATATAACTGATTACCTTTGATTTATTTTAGCACTCTGTACCCAGCCTCATTTTACTTCACTTTGATCTCTCTGATAATCTCCACTGGTAATCTTTCCACTTTCAGAAGCTTTCTTTACCAGTTTGATGGTCCATGAAACAGAATCCTGGTACTCACCATCCATCTCTCAAGTTATTTTGAGTTGGTTGTCATTGTTTTTTAAACAGGTCCTTGTCCTCATGCTCCAAAGTTCTATGTGAGCCAGTTTGAATATAAAACAATAAGTCACTAATGTTCCAATTAACTATGGATGAACCCTGCCTAAATCTTTTCATTATCAGAGCTTAACACTGTTCCTAAACACTACTGTTCAGCAATTATAGACCCTATTGTCACTGACAGAACTTTTAGATGTCATCCCATTATGGGGCTCAGCCTAGCTGTTAAAAACGTTCTTCATCTGAAACCTTTGGTGCTAGTCAACATTTCTTATGACAGGACAATCCCTGTCTGTAAACTCCTAGTCCTAGTTTTAACTTGAAGCCACAAAGAAGCCAAAAACAATTGGATCTCACATTAGGTCTCAGCCCCTTTCCCCTTCCTATCCTATCTTCTAGTATGCATGCTTCCATACCCCTAAACCTTTATTTCAATCTTTGTTTTAAGACAGGGTTATTTCCTAACTCTAAAATCCAGATGTTAAAAAAAATTCATGTCTACAGCAATATTTCCAGAAATTAATTTCCAAGACAAATATTTTAAAATGGATCTTATCACTTACACCTTTGGTGACTTTATTATAATTACTATAATGGAATATGAGTAAGAAGGAATTGGACTGAAAAAGTGGGATAACGTTTTGGACTCTTGTCATTAATGCTTCTTAGACAAAAATACAAAAATCTCAGGATTTGAATTCTCAGGAAGGTATAGAGAGTAGCCTCTGAAGTTTTATTAAGAGCAACTATAAAAAGAATAATAGCAATTCTTTAAGCACTTTTATTATGTATTATTATTTGTTGTTCTAATTCTACATTGTCACCTTTTAGCCATGGGTTTTTGAACATTTTTTTGAAGAGAAATATAAGCCAAGAGCTGGTGGCTCATGTCTATAATCCTAACTACTTAGAAGGCTAAAATCAGAATTGAGGTTCAAAGACAACCCAGGCAGAAAAATCAGTGAGACTCTTTATCTCTATTAAACAAAAAAAGCCAGCTGGAGGTATGGCTCAAGTTGTAGAGTGAAAGGTGTGAGCAAGCAAGCCAAATACAGTATGAGGCCTTATGTTCAAGCCGTAGTAATATTATTAGTAATACTAGTAATAATGTTATTAGTATTATTAGGAGAATAGTTGTATTCTTATACTATTAATAATAGAATCATATAACTTTCAATTAAGTTAAATGAAAACCTTGTAAAGTCTAATAAGGATGAAAGAACTGGCATTTGATTGGAAAATAAAGTCTAGTTTTCTCTAGTATACAAAGAATCCTCCTGTTTAAAATGTACAGTGGTAACTCTGGTACTTATGTATGTTAAAAATATCTATTTTTCTTCTAGTTAATTCCCATCTCAGAGTCTGCATCTCACTTTTGTGTGTGTGTGTGTGTGAGAGAGAGAGAGAGAGAGAGAGTGTCCATCCTAGGGGCTTGAATTAAGGGCACTGTCCCTGAGCTTTTTTGCTCAAAGTTGGCACTCTACCACCTGAACCACAGCTCCACTTCCAGCTTTTTGATAGTTAATTAGACATAAGAGTCTCAGACTTCTCTGCCTGGGCTGACTTCAAACCTCAATCCTCAGATCTCAGCTTCCTGAGTAGCTAGGATTACAGGAATGAGCCACAGACACTCAGTTACTTAATCTTTTAGTTTGAGTATTTATGTTCACTAATTAAAGATGCTAGATTCTATTTAGCATATTTTTAACTTCCTCTGAACTGCTGCTTTAAGAGATAGGACATATACACCATAAAATATTGAAGAGGCACAAAAGAATACCAAAAACAAAAACAAAAAACAAAACCATTTGCTACAAGTCCTTCAACAATACTAAAGAAAATAATTTTCTTCCAGACTGTCTTCACTATCTG